AGCGGCAAAGCCCGGGTCTGACGCAGACCTCATCGGCCCCGCACGCATCCTCGCCCTCGCACAGCGCTGTGGGTAGCAGAGCAGGCACCTCAGTGCACGATGGGGCCCCCCGGGCTCACACCCCACTGCCGAGTCACCCCCTGCCCGGCCACCATCCCGCTTCCCACTCCATCCCGAGGAGCAACTCCGTGAGCGTTTTGGGGTCCCCACGGTGAAGCTGCTGCTCGAGGAGAGCTGTGGGGCTCCCCCAGACTCCCAGCGTCATGAAGGAGCCACCCAGCCAAGCTTTGACCATCACCATCCAAAACTCACCGGCCGTGCACTCCTGCCCTTCCTGCTTCCAGCCAGGACAGCACGCCGGGCCGGAGGGGAGCCTGTGGGAGAGACCCAAGGGGCCATCAGATGGGACCGGGGGTGCCGAGGAGGGCACGTGTCCACATGCGGCTGCAGCCAAGGCAAAGCAAACGTTAGCCCTTGTCCCAGCTGGGCCCAGCGGGCAGGGAGGCAGCGCGGTCCCAGGGGCATTGCTCCGGAAGGAAATCAGTAAAATTGGAGGAAATTTAGGAGGCTGCGGCCCGAGGAGGCTGCGGGGCAGGGATTGCCGCTACGGAGCCAGTGCTGGGTCCCTGCTGGTCTGGGAGTCAAATCTTCGTCAGCAGCTCAGAAAAAAGGCACTGAAGTGACGGCCATGGAAGGCGCCGCTGCTGATGGCGAGACCCACGGGAGAGGCAACACACAGCAAAACACAGGGGACAGAGGCTCCAAAAGCCCTTCGGGGTTTGCTGTGCCCACGTTTCCCACCCTGTGTACGACAAAAGCTTTGCCAAGGCTCCCACATCTCCCCCTTGCCCCATGCGCGTGAGAAATAACTCCCAGAGAAGGGGTCTGGCTGCCCCAAACGCCTGTGCGTGCCCCAGTCATGCTCCCAAGCGTCACCCCGGTCTCTGCATCCATGAGACGCCAGGTTAGGGAACTCCATCCATGGATGGACAGACCGATGGATGATGACCCCCTGGGGCTGCTGAAAGGCCCCGGGAGATGGAGGGGTGCAAGCGGGGCCCCCCCAGCACCCACCTGCAGACATTCCTGCCATCAGGGTCCAGCTCCTGGGCACGGCTCTGCACCCACAGCCACAGCTGGAGCCAGAGCAGGGGCCGGGCATGCCCCATCCCAACAGGGAATGAGGGCCTGGGTCCTGGCAGCTCTGCAGCAGTGTCCCTCTGTCCTGGCCGTCCCGTCCGTCCCTCCTGCGGTGCGGCCTCTTCCTCTGGCCAACCTTGGGTTTCTTCCTGAGGAAACGCGGGAGGAGGCGCCCCGATCCTGACGTCAGGGGTGCGGCAGGGAGGGGGGAGGCAGGGATTGACGCTCCATGGGATATTTTTGGCCCTTTTTGCCACCCTGGCAGCAGGAACGGGGCACCCAGGAGCTCAGCACACGGACGTCTCACCCACAGCCACCTCGCTCCCCTGCTGCCATCCTCCATCACCCCAAAGCCATTTTAGCCAACGTCCCCCCAACCTACACCAGGCGTGTGCTGCCTCCCCATGCCCCAACCCCTGCGATCTGCCCCCCTTGGGACAAGGGCTGAAAGTTGGGGTCCCCACGACCCCATAGGGACACGGTGTGCCCCATGCTGGCCCTGGAACCACTGCTGGCTGCCATCCCACCCCACATCTCCCCAGGAGCTTTGTGTCAGCAGATGCACAGGAAACACCTTTTTCCTACCCAAGCCTGGCTCAGCCGGGAAGGGGGACCTGGCCTGGAAGCTGCTCCCCTCTCCATGCAGGATTTAACTCCTCTGTGCCCAAATGCAGCCCCCGTTGCCTCGCTCCCCGTGGTGCTGACCCCTAAAAGGGGCTGTGGGGCCTGGCAGAGCGTGGCTGACCACAGCCCTTTGCATCGGCGCAGGAAAAGTCACGGCTATGGCGAAACAAAACTGATTTATTTCCGACTCCAGTTCTAGTGGAAGAAAGTACCTGACCCGAGGGGGCGGCTCGCCCCTGTGAACGCGAGGATTGGCCCACTTTTCCAGTTCCCAGTAGCAGCAGCAAGAGGTCCCGGTACAAAACCGATTCACCCCACGCCTGAGAAGTGCAGGAGTGGCACCGGCAGTGCTGATCCTGACTGGATCAGGGTGCTCAGCCCCTCCCAGCCACTCAGGTTGCCCCCCCCCCCCCAGCCACTCAGTGACCCCAGCACAGCACCCACACGGGCACCCCAAATCCACCTTCACATTGCAGGGATGGGGGAAGGGGAATGAGAGGAAAGGGAGGGATGAGAAACACCGAAAAGGCACAACATAAAAGGGTGGCCGATGCCCAGAGGTGCTGAACCATCCCGTGTCAGGCTGAGAGTCCCAGCGGGTTTGGAGGAAGGCTGCCCACAGCAGCTTTGCCATTGTCAGGGCATGGGGAAGCAGCCCAGGTGCTGGGAAGACGACGCTGGGAGAAAAGGAGCAGGGAAGCGCTGCGGTGAGGCCGGACCCGGCTCCCATCCCGGTGGGGTCAGAGGGGTGGCGTGGCTCTGTCGGGGGACGCGGGCGCCGGCTCCAGCTGCGTGTCCAGCGAGTCGATGATTTCCCAGGCTCCGGAGCAGCTGGATGCGGGGGGGTCCTCGCTGCTGTCCTGATACCACTGCCCAAAACTGCAGAGAGAGCAGATAAGGGCTGCGGGGGAGAGGAACCTTCCCAAGGACACAGTTCTATCCCAACCAACCTCTGTGATCGGTGGTGGCAGCAGGACGAGCTCCTGGGAGCATGCAGCACCCCAGGGACAGCAGCAAGGCTTGTCCTGCCCCTGCCCAGGACAAGGCAGATCCCACCCCAAAACCAAGCATCCCCATCGTACCCGGGAGGGCAGGCACTGAGCTCAGCGGGTGCCAGCCCCGCAGTGGCAGAGCCACTCATCCCCAGCAGCACCCGAGCACGGGAGCAAACTTACAAGCTCCTAATTTTGGATTCGGGAGGTTGAGCATCCACGCAGTCTGTGCCTCGACCCGGGAGCCAGGAGCCCTCATCTTCATCGCTGCAGCACAAAGAGCTCGGTTCGCCCCGGTTACCACAGCACTGAAGTCTTTAGGGACCTTGCCCTGCATGGCAAGCGCACGCTTCTCCGGGGGAACCAGAGGTTCAGGTTCAGGTTCGGGGCCAGGGTGGGTGACATGAGAAGTGACCACCCCGCAGCACCCACACGGCAGCAGCTGCCCAAGCAGGGGGACAAGCCCAAGACCCCCCACTGCCAGCACAGACCCCGACGCAAGCGAGCAGCAGAGGTTTCAGTAGCACAGAAGAGCTCAGCCCCCTTCAGACCTTTATTAAAGCCCCCCAGAACCAGTGAGATCCAGCTCCCCGCATGTCACAGCTTTAGCGCAGGCTTGGCCACCCGCCACCGTGCAGAGGTGATGCCCTCCCACCATACGAAGTCTGTTGGGACCAGCGCTGCCTGTGAAGCCTTGCAGAGCCTCCAGGCTCCAGAACATCCCTGCTGCCATCTTCAAAGGCTGGAAAGCCTCCGAGCACGCAGCACAAGGACCAGCCTGTCCTGTCTGGCGGTGCCGGTGCCACCACCTTGCCCCCATTTTGCTGCATCCAAGCGGGGACAAGCAGCGCTCAGCCAGGCCGTGTGTGACAGGGCTGCAGCGGAGCCCAGCCCCTGCGGTGCTCCCAGGACTGCGCCAGGGCAAGGCATTGACTGCAGACATAAACCTTTGGTCTCTTTTCGGGAGGCGGGGAGGAGGCAGCTCCTGGCCCAGTGGTGTTCCCTTCCAGTCCTCCGTGGCCAGCCGGACTCACCTGCTCGCTGACTCCTCCGCCGTCCCCAGCATTTTGGCTCTGATTTTTTTTCTCTGCCTTTTGATGGTCGATTTCATGGCGTCCAAGAAGAAGCTGGGAACCCTCTCTTCATTCAGCAGCTCCCTGGCAAAAAGCAGCCAGCTGGTTAATGGAGAACCCAGCAAAGAAATCCACTGGGAGCAGCCAGGATGGGCCATGGGTGACTGGGGGGACAGGAGGGACCCCTTGCTGCCCCGTGCCGGGTCTTACCGCTGGTAATAAGCCAGCTCCTCCTGCACCAGGAACAGGTTGGTCTTGAGCTCGTTGCGCTCCTGCAGGATCTGCTGCAGCTCTTCCCTGGAGAAGCAGCAGTGAGCGGGGCTCCTGCCCGTGTCCTGGTGCTGCGGCTCCTCTGGGGGTGACAGTGCTCCTTCCTGTGGGGACAGAAAGAGTCAGCAGCCAGTGGAGACCCCAGAGCCCCCTCCCAAAGGCTGAGTTTGTGATCCTGGAGTCACTACAGCCCTCCACGAACCACCGCCTGCTGCCACCCATGACCAACTCTCCTTGTCCCTCCGAGTCCCGGCTTTTCCTCCCATCACCTCGCTCGTCCTGACTCATTTTAATGGATGTGGCATTACCAGCTTGGCAGATGCCCCACTATTCAGTTTTCAGTATTGGGGCTTACTCGAGCAGCCTCCAGCATCCCCGCGGGTCCAGGCACGCCAGGACCCCTGCACAGGGATGGGACATTGGGCTCAGCATTAGCAGCAGGGACACGGCTTGGACTCACCACATTGGGCTCCAGCTGCTGGATGTCAGGGGCTGTCCTGCTCCTCCTGCTCGTTTCCCTCTGGAGCTGCAGCATCGCCTCCTCCAGGTCCGACTTCTTCTCCAGCGCGCTCTTGAGCTGCGCCTGCACCACGGCCACCTTGTGCCGCAGGTCCTCGTTCATGGCCATGAAGCGATGCAGTTGCTCCTGCAGCTGGAGGAACCGGGGCAGCGAGCGTGAGGCGCAGCGTCAGCTCCGGGCCCACACCCAGGGACACCAGGAATGGCATCTGCCCCGGCAGGCTCGCCGGCCTCGGTGACGTGAGGCCCTGGAGCGAGGTGACATGAAAGCAGGTCCCCAGGCCCTTCGCACACCACGCCCGCCAGCTCCCACACGCTCACCGCCTCCGTGTCACGGCTCTTGCAGATGATCTCGTGGGCCTGGGCGCGGAGCTCATCCCTCTGCTTGTCCACCACCTCTTTCAGCCGCAGCATCACCTCCCGCTCCTTCCGCACCGTGCTGTCTGAGCCCGGACACAGAGGAACGGGTGTGAGCAGCCCCCAGAGCCAAGGACACCCCCAACCTCACACCACTATGAGGTTCCTGGATGCTTCTGCAGAGCCAGACTCA